GACGGACACCGGACGACGGACGACGGACGACGACGGACAATCACCCATATGATAAGCTCCGCTCGACAAAGTCGACAGCGGAGCTAAAAATATGAAAACTTTTTTTATATATATTTTATTTATTTACATACAAAATATTACACTATATAAATATATTTTATATTTATATTTTGTGTTATATTAGTGTGTTTGCTTTTCACAAACTTGTTTAAAAGGTTTGTTTTTCTTCATACAGTGGAAAGTGCAGTAAGTTTTTGTATGCTATTTACAGAGGTTTATTCTGTTGTTTACAAATGAAGTTTCATGTTTTATACTAATTTGATTAAGTTATTGTTGTGCAATAAAACAAACAAACAAACAATAACTCTTTCTCATTGCAGTATGTTCATCACAGCAGCCGTCGTCTATACAATATATGTGAATAAACCCAGAAAATTATAACCCCCCCTCCTTCACTCCTGGAAAAATTGTTAGCCCCCCTTTTTCATATACAGAAAATGGAAAGGCCCCCCCCCAGAATTGCCCGGCACCCCCCAGGCCAGATTAACTGGTGATTCCCTAATTAACACAGATCGTTTTCTATTTCTGAGGGAGAAAAAAACGCCCTTCGAGCTCGGGCTTCAATTTTCATACCATAGCGAGTGTGTCGAATTCCCAATGTAACCGTAATAACATGTAACTTTATAGTAACATACTAGTTTCGGGTTCTCTAGTTGCTTACTGATCTTGCGCGCGAGGGGGTTACGGATCGCATGGATATGTAGTTTAATGCAGTTAACAAAGCAGCTTCAGTTTTATTCCAAACATGTCGATTTTTGTAATTATGTATCCAGGTTACTTTTGATAGTTAAAATGATGGTAAAATATGGAAAACTTATCTTTTTCATTCATACACACATAATGGAGGATAACAACATATAATGTATAACAAAATGCTATTCATAAATACATTCATTATTGGATATCTCCGAGGGACAGGAACCAGGGCAACATCCAGGGACTGGGTCTCATTAACGTAGCAACTCGAAGCATAACTATTTTTTATTTTAGATACATTCGGGCAAAGCTTAGTTCGCATATTAATATGTAACCCTTCCAACCAAACAACATCCTACAAAGTGTTTGTCCCAAGTTTTATTGGTGTATGTCGGTGGGGCGCCATTAATGATGCAATCCTCAAATCTATGATTAAAAGTACTTGAAACATTTCATCCGGTATTATGAATCGATTAAAAGACGGTCACGTGACCGACAACGCGTTTGGTATACTTATTTGTACGTGCAGAGGGACTGTGGTCCGTGGAATGTTTATTTATTTTTAACTTTAAGCTGGACAAACAGCTGACCCGCTATTTGATTGGTATAGTATGTTCTTCACTACACAGAACGTAGCTACTCATCGACTCGATTTCCAGTCTCTGTCTCGTACATACAATAGTTACCATTCATGGTTGTTATGCATTTGTTATTATAATGCGGGACAAACGGCTTGTCTGTCGCTCTGGGGTCTCCACGAAGAGTCACAGTCGTGCTGCGGCAATAATAAACACTAAGTCTGAATAAAATGCCAGCTTGCCTGAAGTGTACTCTCGGCCAATATAAGAATATTTGGTCTTTAACAAAGTTTGTTATAATTATAGGAAAAAGATGGGAATATGTTAGTAAAAGACGGTGACTAGCAGATATTACGTCATAACCTGTTGGATGGTGATATATGGTTTAAAACAGCCTCGTGACTGATAAACCTGGTCAAAATTATGTTTTGCTTAAAAGTTTTGTTTTGATTTAAATAATATTTTTCAAAAATTCTGTTCTCTGATTGATCAATACAAGTACTTTCTTCGCACACATGCGCGTGCAGTTCATTCGGAATACGTCTGTAAAGTTGTATAATACGTAGCTGACGGTCGTAACTAGAGTTCAGCATCACAAAAGGCCTTGAACTATGACCCAGCGTGACACAATTTGTCTATTTTTGTGTGTACTTTGCCAGTAAATGTGCACATGAATTTTAGAATCTCTCTTGAAAATTGGTTGTTATGGAAACATTCGATGTTTTGTGAGCCTCCTACACTGTATTGGTTTAGGGGTTCACCATTTAAAATTATGGGATGTCTGGA